TTGAGTGTGTGTGTGTGTGTGTGTGTGTGTGTGTGTGTGTGTGTGTGTGTGTGTGTGTGTGTGTGTGTGTGTGTGTGCGCGCGCGCGCGCGTGCGTGCGTGCGTGCGTGTGTGCATGTGCGCACGTTTACAGATCGCATATTTAGAAGTGGAGGTGGAGACCCTGACAGAGCAGCTTCACAGTCCTGCAGTGTGCGATGGGAACCACAATGGCAGCGTAACAGTGGATGATCTAGATCACATTCAGAAGGTGAACAAAGAGCTCGAGCAGCAGCTCAGTGACAAGAACAAGGCGTGCGTGTGTGCATGTGCGCACGTTTACAGATCGCATATTTAGAAGTGGAGGTGGAGACCCTGACAGAGCAGCTTCACAGTCCTGCAGTGTGCGATGGGAACCACAATGGCAGCGTAACAGTGGATGATCTAGATCACATTCAGAAGGTGAACAAAGAGCTCGAGCAGCAGCTCAGTGACAAGAACAAGGTAGGATATTTTTCTTCTCCGTGTGTCATTGCTGCTTGTTATTAAAGTTTCAAAAGGGGTCACATGCTCAGGGCTGGGCGATAATTCAATATCAGCGTATATCATGATAGACACGTGATCAATATCAATTGAAATTGCAACCAATACAGTCCCGATTTACTAAAACATGGGAATCAAGCCCCAACCTGTCATTCTGCCCGCTGTTGGCAGAGGCTGCATCATGACATTAGATTTCAGCAAAGAAATGTGTGCAGGGCATTCGTACACTGAATGAAAGTGTGTCTTAAACTTAACTTTGTTCAAAAAAAGTACAACTCTCACACTGTTTATACTAACCCGATCAAACACCTTCGGATGGATACATGAGGTTGAAGTAAAGGGCTTCCCCGATCCGACCCTCTCAGCGTTGCACTTCACAGCCAAGTGAAAAATGTCCTGTCACATAATTAGCCAGCTAAAAACATAAAATAGTCATAAATGTGATGGTCATACACTCTTAAAATATTATTAGTTCGCTAAGCTTAACATGTCTGAACAGCGAATGAAGGGTAATGAAACTGCATGAGCATTATTGCTTAGGGGGCAACGTTTTACACAAACATTTATGGTGCACTGCTGGAGGAGCATGAATATTAACGTTGCACATCCATTACAATGTACTCAACGACAGTGTACATTGTAATGGATGAAAATTTATTTTACCCCCCCAGAGAATGTGAAAGGTATTTTCTTGAGAGTTGTTTTATTTGATGTTTATCCTGAATCAATTTAATCATTTTTATTTTTGTCTTTAATCGGCATAGTTGTTGTTCTTTAAATAGGATAAAACAGATCAATCATTATCGATAGACTGATACACAAGACATGCTCAATATGAAAGGGTGGGCCAATAAAATGTTTCCACTTTTTTTTTTTATCTTACACAATTTTTTTCAATGAAAACTTATTTAAAAGGGTTATTTGCAGATTTGTATCAGAAGCATTAAATTAACATTTGATACCAAAGGTTTCCCAATTTGTCTGTTGTTTTCGACACAATTCAATAATTGATGTTCAATCTACGCTCATCTTCTGTGGATTACGGCTGCAACATGCAAAATAACATGCTGATATGTTTTTTTTTTTAATAATTGAAACCAACATGTTAAGAAAACTTGTGGTTGTCTTTCAGACTATCAAACAACTGCAGCAGCGAATGGCAGAACTAAAAAGAACGTTGCAAAAAGAACTGGTAAGATTAACTAGACAGTCTTTATGCTTTTTTTTTTTTTTTTTTTTTTCCCAGACTGAATCCCTCATCAAGTGTCCAGTGCTTGACTATATGCTACATTTACTTTGGAAAATTCACTTCAGCTTAGAAACCTTTTGTTTGAAATCGTCTGATTTCATATAATAAGTTTGGAAAGGTTGACTGACGGATGATCATTTTTTCGCCCAGGTACATTCTGTCCTTTTACCGTAATTTCTCGAGAATAACACGCTTGAATATTATACGGCCCACTCAATATTGCCCTTCAAATGCAAATTTCCTTTCCATTCATGTATTACTCTGTGCTATCCTCCAATATGTTGGTATCTGTACTCAAAAATTGAAATATGATCGCATTGTAATTTGATCGATTGGGATTTTTTTGTGTTCAGACTTTTTTTTTTTTTTTATGTAGAGAAAAGATTTCTTACTCTGCTAACAGAGAGCTTACAAGATACAACAAAAGCCTTTTGAGCTGCATGCCTTTGACTACACCAAGCTAGGAGGGTCAAAGTCTTCAGCATTTGGAAAACTTTTTTCCCCCCCAAATGTCATACACTGCTTTGGCATTGGCCCCCAAAAAAAAAAAAAAACGTGAAAATCCGGAACTTCAAACTAGCATTTTTTTTTCTAGAAGCATAGTAGCCCCTAATTTGAAATTTTAGGAGCGCCAGAGGAACATTTAAGGGTGCACACTGTAAATTGACTTGCAAAGTCAATATTCATATTTCCCTCCATTGTTACAGTATTGCTGATAAATATTTGGGGAAATCACATTATTGTGCAAGTTACGACACAGCATGAACCCTAAAGCTAAATTATACATCCATCCATCCATCCATTTTCTGACCTGCTCTATCCTCACAAGGTTCGCGGGGCATGCTGGAGCCTATCCCAGCTGTCATCTGGCAGTCGGCGGGGGACACCCTGAACTGGTTGCCAGCCAATCGCAGGGCACACAGAGACAGACAACCATTCGCGCTCACATTCACACCTAGGGACAATTTAGAGTGCTCAATCAGCCTGCCATGCATGTTTTTGGAATGTGGGAGGAAGCCGGAGTACCCGGAGAAAACCCACAAAGGCCCGGGGAGAACATGCAAACTACAAACAGGGAGGCCGGAGCTGGAATTGAACCCGGTACCTCTGCACTGTGAGGTCGACGCGCTAACCACTGGACCACCGGGCCGCCTAAATTATACATATAAATATTAAAAATATTAAGTACGTATATGTTTAGACTCGTAATGCAAGTACAGGTACTACCAATAAATTTTGCACTTTGTGCATGGTGTGGGTGGCAACATCAGTATTTGTAATTGAATTGAATTTGTCTTTGCCTGAATCTGATGAAAATTTTTGTATGCCTTCTTTGCACACTATAGAAGCTGAAACCTGAGCCAGAAGAGGAAGCTAAGGAAAAGATACCAGAAAGTGTAGTCATCAAACAAGAAATGGTTTGTGCAGAACTGCCACAAGCGTCTAGTCCAAGCCTTTCCACTGCAAACACCACAGTGACCAACACCTCAGACCTTAACGACTCAAGAGAAATCAACTTTGAATACTTGAAGCATGTTGTTCTCAAATTCATGTCATCCAGAGAGGCTGAGGTAAGTCAACTGTCTTAATTTGAAATAGTTTGTCCAACGTACACCGAAAATACAGATTTTGATACTATGCATGTAACTCTCTTGTTGTTAGGCATTTCAGCTAATACGAGCTGTGTCTGTGTTGCTGAACTTCACTCGTGAGGAAGAGGACATGTTAAAGCAAACCCTGGAATATAAAGTCAGTGTTAAATAAAAAACTTTGTCAACATTTTGATCATTAGGAAACAAATGTAATGCAGTCATTGTTTCAATTTCTTCTTCAAAGTGAGAGACTACAACAACTACTTTTATCATTTGTCATATTGTCAACTGATCCTATTTTTCACTGGACAAGGCTCGTACAAAAGTCAATGTTAGATAGACTTGCTGTGGTTTTGTATTCATTTAGCTTTCTTGAACTTAAATCTTGATTCATTACTTGTACATTTGCTTTCCAGATGTCCTGGTTTGGCTCCAAGCCCTCTCCAAAGGGAATTATCCGGCCTTCAGTCTCAGGCTCTTCAACCCCCTGGAGCTGATGGACTACAATACTAGGAAGGTACTCAGCGAGTACTCAGCAGGACCACCATCATGAGGAAATCGGTCCCCCTTGTCGCTCCAAACATTTAGTTGGAAGCTCGCTCCATATATTTGAAGCAATGTCCTGCTGAGATGCATTTCCCTGGTTCTGTGGGACAAATGACTGTTGTTGTGATTGTTTTTAATGTTTTGAGGAAAAAGGGCTGCATGTTTTGTTTTTTGTTTTTTTGTAATCAGCTGTTGATTTTTAAAATGACACTACAAAGGTCGAGGTCGAAGCCAGTGTCACCGTAAGACACATTTACACTGGAAGTGAAGTTGTCCTATTTGTTTTCACTCACACCGGTTGGATCTACAAGCCGTGAAGGGAACTGCCGCAGTTTTTCCCTGAAATGCAGCTGATGAAATCTCATTTTTCCTGATTGATCTTTTTAGCTCTTTTTTAAAAAAAAAACAAAACAAAATGAAACGATCCTAATTTTGTGAACAATGAAGAAGCAAGAGATTCCACCCTAAGATGTCAAAAGTCCAAAGTTATTCAACATTCCATCAATTGAATTTTTTGTTTGAATTGAATTGTAGGACGATTAAAGGACATACTCTTTACAGTAAATGAACATACTTATTCTATGTTCATATATTAGATAGGCAAACTGACCCACCGATCCCATTCTACATATTAGCACATAACACCTAAGTGTTAAACATACAACCTTTCTGTTGCCTGGCATTATCAGAGTGTGTGTGTGTGTGCGTGTGTGCGTGTGTGCGTGTGTGCGTGTGTGTGAGTGAGTGAGTGAGTGCGTGCGTGCGTGCGTGTGTGCGTGTGTGTGAGTGAGTGAGTGAGTGAGTGAGTGCGTGCGTGCGTGCGTGCGTGCACGCGCGCGCCTGTGTGTGTGTGCCTGTGTGGCTGTCTGTGTGTGCGCATCCATCTCCTTTGGAGTCTCTAAAAGTGTGACCTGGGTCGTCCAGGAGGCATCGTCGCTGCATTCCTGAGCCACCTAATATGGCTCCAATCAACACGGAGGTGCAGTAGTTTTTACTCTGAGCCCCTACCTGATGACTAAACTTCTTTAAGTGAGAGTCTGGACATCCTAAGAAGGAAACTCATTTCAGTCATTTGTATGTGGGATCTTGTTCTTTATTTTTTTCTTTCATGAACAACCAACAATTTTTTTCCATGTGTACACAGGGATGACATATTTATAATACTGTATACCAATTGTATTCTGAATTGTCACTAAAGACACATTTTCAAGTTAACATCTTGTGTTTGTAGTACGATTTACTTTGTATATAATGTGGATATCGAATATTTTAGAAAAATAAGTATGATTTTTCTGTCAGTAAGGGTCGATTTAAACCATATAAATCCATAAACACTATAAAAGCAAAAGCTTTTTTATTATGTTAGTAATTATTTCCTCTCACAACAAAGGATTCATGTTCATGATTTATTGACAGAAAATGACAAATCAAGCGGCATGCACAATCCCTCCCAAATTCTATTAAGTTGTTGCAAAGTCCATTTTTTCAAGTCCATTCAAATTTTCACCATCCTAACATACTTTGTAGCTACACCAAATGATTGCGTAATTGAATGTACAGTTGTTATTTAAAACAGGTTATTATTCGGGGTGATTCTGTTATTTTAAAATTCGCAGTTTTATTTTGTAATTCATTCAGTAATATTTGTTAATGTCACGCCGTGGCGCTGTATTTTGTAAGACGCTAACGCAGAACCCGCAGAGGCAAAGAAGAAAATATCCGGAAGCTCCCTTTTTGTGAACACGCGGTACGTCCGGCCTTTCTGGCAGCGTAGCGAGAGGCAACATGGTGGGTATCGTTCGGCTCTCTTGTAATTAGTACGTTTTAGTGTTTAAAGCATTTTACCTCCATAGCAGATGTCGAATATAAGCGCGTAAGCAACTGAGGGTGCTCTATGGTTGAGTTTGGATGAGTAGCCCGCACACGACAATTAGTAAAATGCTGGTTTATAACCGTGCTAGCGCCGCTGAGCTAAGTTGTTACGTGCTAATGTAGTAACGGCCTTGCTTGAGTGAAAGCTAATTTCGTGGTGCGGTAGATGATTTGAAACTTGCTAACAGCCATCTTTTAGTTGAATTCCGTGTGTTATGAATATTCTAAGTCTAAATTACATTGATGCATGAGTTAAGTGTGTTAAATGTGATCTTGTCACCGAAGAGCTCGTGTGAAGTGAGGCCAAGTATCCCCACACTACAGGCTTAATTTGCTTCTCTGGTCTGAGATGATATTTGTTGAGCTGATGGACTGCTGATGCATTCACAACTGCTTACCAAAAGACTGAGACTTGAGATGTCAATCTCGCGCATTGTGCTATATCACACTGTATCCTATTTTTCGACGACCGACTGTAAAACGAGACTGTCGAACCTCCAAATGACGCCCCATCATAACCATAACCAGTTGTATTTTACTTGTTAAATTTTATTTGACCCAGGCTAAGATCAAGGCAAGAGATTTGCGTGGTAAGAAGAAGGAGGAGCTGCTCAAGCAGCTGGATGACCTGAAAAATGAACTGTCACAACTCCGTGTGGCCAAAGTAACAGGCGGAGCGGCGTCGAAGTTGTCGAAGATGTGAGTACTCTGAACTTAATGTTGCTTCCATGGCTTGGAGTGGTTCTTGTTTGCCTTGTTGGACAAGTTGACAAATTGTCTCCATGATAAAACCCACAATGCCGACGAAACGTTCTGTACAAAATGCTTGAACCTAAAAAGGGGTTAGTCTTTGGTTTCATTCAATACAGTATTGAATATGTACTAATTGTAAAAAGGAAGATAACTACTTCACGGATTTCACTTATCACAGGTTATTTTTGAAAGATAACCCCCGTGACGTATAAGGGATTACTGTAGTTGAATTGATACTGTCACATTTTGAGTTAATATACAGTTTGGGGCGACACTAACAATTATATTGCTCGTCGATAAATGTGGTGATTCATCAAGTGTCCCAATGTCAGAAATGAAATCAGACACCGGCCACAACTTTCTTCCTTTTTAAATGCTCATTCATCACCATGTGCTGCCACGAAATCGAGGTTTGCATCGTATTGGGTATTTTTGGTGAAAAGCGCTGTTGCGAACACGGGTTAGCCATGACGCTACTTTCCCCCCCAATGGCTTACATCACGGATAAGCCGGGACACAGACAGGCAAACAGCCAGCGGGACACGCGGCGACTAGGCAGTTTCAAGAGAAAGTGACAAATAAATAAATGATCTGTTCTTAAATGAATTGTTCATTTTGATAGTCAGTGTTGTGACTTGGTGACTAATATCGGCAGCTCTATATGTACTATAAACTGACAGCTGGTGATGGCTGCAGAATTATTATTTTTAACAGCAACTTTCTGGTCTCTCAATGCGTTTACACCGGCCTTTTTCAAAAAGCAGGGCAGGCAGTCCTGGGGCAGGCTGGTGCACAAACAGTGGGGGTGCACATGTGACCCCAGGAAACATTTATTTTTGTGCCATATTACAATAAAGGGTCACACTCCTTGTCAGTGTGTCAGCAGGTGGTATAAAAGATGTTAATACAGTCACTCAGAAGATTAATACCTTTTTTTTCCCTTTGCAGCCGCGTTGTCCGCAAATCTATCGCCAGAGTTTTGACGGTCATCAACCAGACTCAAAAGGAGAATCTGAGGAAATTCTACAAGGTGAACTGAGGATGAGCATTTGCACCAAAATGTGTGCATGGGACTTGAGGTTTATATGTTGAGCCTCTTGTAAAAGATAATTGTCAAGCATGTGTTCACAATTAATAGTCTGAGGCTTGATGTGCGCAATCTTTTTCACAACCTCTCCGAGACACTGCGCACATACCGATGCTTTCTTTGCGCCATTGAATAATGCGCATTATCCTTAAAAATCTTTTTAAATTTACTTTAGGGCAAGAAGTACAAGCCCTTGGATCTGAGGCCCAAGAAGACCAGAGCTCTGCGTCGCCGCCTCAACAAACACGAAGAGAGTCTGCGTACAAAGAAACAGCAGAGGAAAGATCTTCTTTACTCAATCCGCAAATTTGCTGTCAAAGCTTGAAACATTTTCTATCAACTAAATAAAACATGTTAAAGATGGGCCGTTTGTCCTCTTTTCGCTGTTAACTTTGAGATAGAAACATTTTCTATCTACTAAATAAAACATGTTAAAGATGGGCCGTTTGTCCTCTTTTCACTGTTAACTTTGTTAGCCATTATTGCTCCAATAAGCTAATCACTCTAGAACAGTGGCAGTCCCTCAGGGCCAGCAAGGCCTTCTCTGCTGGCCAAACATTCTCAGAAAAGTACATTTACTTTTCTGAGAATAACATTATTTTATTTTCATAAATATGAAAACAAAATTCTCTGTATTCTTTAAGTCATATTATTTCCACTTAGTCGAGTGGCTTTCAATGTTATTTTAAATAACACTGAAAGCCACTCGATAAATAACTTACTTATTATGGTAGAGTTTTTAACCAATCATATTTCAGCTAACTTGTGTTGCCAGGTAAATTAAATTTGCTCGGGGCCTTCAGATTAAACAGCAGGCCCCTGTGCGCTGTAAATGAACGGGCACAGTCAGGTTTCAATAGCCAATCAGATCACAAGTCTGAGACTCGCTCCTGACTCCTCTGCGTACTAGGGCCAGCTAGAAGGCCTCACGTCGAGACTGGCCGTGCGCGTTCGGTGATTGGATTAGCGCCTTTTCTGTTTCCTGAGAATTGTATCCTGACTTGTTCAATAAAGATTTAATAAAAAAAAAAAAAGATTGGATTACCGCCTGCTAGAGCTATCACTCGCATTTTAACCCAAAATGGCCGAAGGAGAAGAGTTGGTCTGTTTGCAGAACATACTTTCTACACAATTTTCAAGACGGGCCTTCCACGAAAAGCTGGATATTGTGCAAAGAGGTCGCCCAACTCCTGCGCTAGCTAGCCTGTCCCAGCAAGGAAAAGGGTTTGTCCGTCATTTTCAGACGAGCAATTATGAACAGTACCCGTGGCTCACAGCCTCTGAGAAACACTGCAAATTGTACTGCTGGGAATGCCTATTGCTTGCAACTGACCGGTGCGTTTAAAAACGTTTGGGGACACTCGCGTAGATCTGCAGCTCGGTGAACAGGCACATCGGGAGACGGAGCTACACAACAAAAAAGTTTAAAAAAAAATAAATAGGGAAATTAAAATTATACCAGAAACACGACCGGACAAAAACGGCTTTCACAGCATTAGCTTCCATGTCGATAGAAAAGGACTTGCTAATGGACTTGAAAACTTACAACAGAGCCACTGAAGTGTTCCTGAGAAAATAAAGGAGGATCGACTTCATTTTCAAATAAGCAGACGCTGTGGAGAACTACATTGGTGAGTCAATGAATTTTATTTTACATTTCTTCTTGTCATTTTATTTCGTTAGTATTAAATTCATGGTAATGAAATAAAATGACAAAGATACAAAAATGTATCAAATAAATCTGCTCACCTGCAATTTATAATGGCGCATTGTAGTCGCCTACGTGCACGAAAGTTCGTTCAATCTCAGCTGCTCAACATTTTCAGTTATTTGCTGTTGTATCGCTGAATTTCAAAATGCAAATGATCTGTTTATTTATAAGAATAGTTTGTTTTGTTGTTTGGTTGGTGTCTTATATGAAACTGCGACATTGCGCAATTTATTGGACAGACTTGTTTAATTAAGATCACACAGCGTAATTTGGGTGGCATTTTATTTTGTATTTTTAAATCATCTTTTTATTTTTGACTATCTGTAAATTTAGTTTCCTGCTCTTAATTGTGAATGCATACTTGATGGTTTTAAATGCTCCTGAAATTAAGTGCTGCTTGACGAGCCTATACAGTATTGTGTTCATGTATGTGACATCACTTGAAGGCCTAAGGTTGAAATGCACGGCCCGCCACTGCTCTAGAATCTGAATAGCTGTCATAGTGCATACCATACAACTCCTTGGTGTCTTCATATGAATACATTCTCCTGCAAAAAGAATATATTTTAAAAATCTCTGAAATGACATGGGGGAGGGAGGCGGGATGGAAAAGTAAGAGGCATATGTGAATAAAGACAATGGCTGAGAGTACCACATGGTGTGTGGACTCCATGATAATGGCAAATGCAAGTTTGGAATGTACCTTTACCTTTACCGTATGTATCTTTCACACTTTTCAGTCCACATGCATACTACCACTGATGCATCCATTTAACTTTAGTGGCAGACTGCTAACCAATATGTGTTAACTATTATTTAGCTAGCTAGTAATCACATAGCTGTGCTAGTAATTCTCAAAAATACAGGAAAGGGTGTTTTCATAAAATTAGGTTTATCGTATAAGCAGGTATCCCCATTGATACGTGATTTTGGAGGCCTAAATGTGTACAATCATGAAGCTTTTCAGTAGTAATAATTGCTACAAAAAACAGGAAAGTGTATTTTAAGTGTTGTCATATAAGCAGGTAGTCGACCTCCATGTGTGATGTGGTTTTGAAGGCCTAATTAAGTACAGTCATTTGAACAGTATAAAAAAAAAAATCTCTGAAGATTTGGGAAAGGAATGCAAGAGGCGACTTGCGTGCTATTCTCGGCCCAAAGCTTACTTTTCAGGAACTGGGGAGCCTGGAGGCCATGGCCGACGCCTGCCATCTCTGTGACAATGCTGCACTGATGGGTGACACCCTGGGTGAGATCAGCCGTGCCTTGCGTGGAATGTTTCCTGAAATGTACAAAACACAGTTTTTGATTCGCTTACCTAGGCACCTTGGAAAAGAAAAATTGGTACAGAACAGAAGAGGATAAAGCAATTGTTGCATTTGTAGGTCGAGATGACGAAAAGTGCAAATTTGAACACGAGAAACAACTGGTGCAGCAGGCCAAGAAGACGGCTTCAGCTCTCTCTGCTCCTCCAAGAAAGAAAATTCCAAATTTTGTTCACAGTGTGTTGGCTGTGATAACACTATGGATAAAAGTTACACTTGCCGCTCTCTTACATCTGCCTTTCAATCTACTCCGCTTGCAGTACTGTTAACTCTCATGCAGTGTTAATGACACTTTGTGCAATCCCTGACACGGTTTGGTGCAAAATTAATCCAAATACTTGACATTATAGCACCACTGGTATAGCCAGACCGGGGTAGGGTGGGGTTGCAGCGCCACCTCAGGATCCTGCTTGAACCTCCTCAGTTGCCACTCGAGAATAATCGTCTTGCAAGCTGTTAGTTTGGGACTCTTTGACACATACACACTGTACATGCAGGTATATGTCTGTTCACACCCTCTACTGGTAAAAAGTTCATACAACAGCTAATAGAAGATATAGTTCTCCCACAGCGTGTCACAAACTGAAAAAAAATAATACAATTAACCCTTTCATGCACCCTATAACCTGCTAACCTGGTGAGCTGTTCACTGCAGTAACCGCTGTCTCTGAAAGGGTTAATATGGTCTATTTTACTTGACGCCGAAAGGAGATTTGACATTGTGACTGTAAGTGATGGCAGCCTCAAGAGAAACAACATAAATTACAGCTTAATGTATTTGACTATTTCTTGTATGTTACAATACAGTACAAGAAATAGTAAAAAAATCAGTATATAACAGATTTTTTTTCTCTATTTTTTTGGACTGGTGCAGCCAGTGTTTTAGTAGATGAACATTCAGGTTTCCTGTGATGCAAATGGACTATTTAAATAACAGATTTATCATTGAAAGTAAAGCTTAATGACATTATTAAGACTTAAAAAATGGTAGTAGGGTGGCCCGCTGATCCAGTGGTTAGCACATCGACCTCACAGTGCAGAGGCACCAGGTTCAATTCCAGCTCCGGCCTCCCTGTGTGGAGTTTGCATGTTCTTCCCGGGCCTGCGTGGGTTTTCTCCGGGTACTCCGGTCTCTTCCCACATTCCAAAAACATGCATGGCAGGCTGATTGAACACTCAAAATTGTCCCTAGGTGTGAGTGCGAGTGTGAGCACGGATGCTTGTACGTCTCTGTGTGCCCTGTGATTGGCTGGCAACCGGTTCAGGGTGTCCCCTGCCTACTGCCCAAAGACTGCTGGGAGAGGCTCCAGCACCCCCCGCGACCCTTGTGAGGATAAGCGGATCAGAAAATGGATGGATGAAAATGGTAGGAATTAAATTTAAATATGCACTTGTACAGTTTTGTCATGTGGCATTTGTACATTTCTGTCAATTTTCAAATTAACAGCCAATGGGTCTTCAAATTTGAAATATCATACCCTAAAATGCTCACTAATAAATGTTGTAACTGTTAGCTGAATACCAAAAAAAAAAAAAAAATCTAATGAACTGGGCAACTCTCATTCCAGAGCACCAGTATGCCATATCGTAACACCAGTTACTCAATGGGAGGGAAATCGCACAGCAGAAGATATTTTAAACACCTGTTATAATTGTATTTGAATTTCACCTCAAACAATTTAACACTTGTGTTATTGAAACAGACATTTTTGGTCAAAGATTTTCACCGAAAGATGACGTCTACCGTTCATAGATTCGATAACATGAAAACATCAAATTCATTATTTCAATCTCAAGATAACCTTTATTTGTCCCACACTGGGGAAATTTCTTCAATGAAGGAACTGGTATGAGTATTAAAGAAATGTCTGCACTGTTGAAAATATTTGACTGCTTGCCTGGTGTTTCTTAAACAAACACGCACACACACACACACACACACACACACACACACACACACACACACACACGCGTGCACAAAAGGATTTGTTTGGTAAGGGGTGAGGATTTTGGCATGCATGCACACTTGCTGGAAATGCTTGCCCATTCAGTCGGAGTAGCAAAGAGCATCCATGCATAACACGTAGCCTAACATGTTTTGCATGAATGCAATTTGTGATTTTGTAGCCTCGTCCAGCTGTTTAGCCATGTTGAATGATGAACGGGAGAGAAAGATATAGAACGAGACTATAAAGACAGTTTTGCAATTTTCGCGTTTATTTCATTTTAAATCTTGCTTACTTCGATGCAAAAGTCTGGGGAAAAATAAAAGCATGACCAGAAACGTTTTTCCAGTCGAAAATCAAGAATGTTTCACAAGCGTTGAACTATACAACATTCCATCCTTTTTCTAATCTGCTTATGCTCACGAGGGTCGCTGGCGTGTTGGTGCCTATCCCAGCTGTCTTCTTGCAGCAGGTGGGGGGACACCCTGAACCGGTTGCCAGCCAATCGCAGGGCACACACAGACAAACAACCATCCACGCCCACAATCACACTCACACTTAAGGACAATTTAGAGTGTTCAATCAGCCTGGCATGCATGTTTTTGGAATGTGGGAGGAAACCGGAGTACCCGGAGAAAACCCACGCAGGCAAGGGGAAAACATGCAAACGCCACACAAGAAGGCTGGAGCCAGAATTGAACCCTACACCCCTGCACTGTGAGGCTGACGTGCTAACCAGTTATCTACACGCCGCCAGTGTTGAACTAAACTTTCAATATTTTATTGCAGTTCAACAACAGCATGCTGTTCTTTTTCTGCAATGCAGTGTTATGTTTAAGCCAGATGTAATGAGACAAAAAGTTAATATTTTTGTCTTTTCAGTCTGTAGAATATTCTCTCAAAAGTCTTGGGAAACATTCAGGTGATTGTTGTCATTGACTTAAACAAAATTAAGATTTTTTTCAGTCAGCAGTGGTTTTTGCCTTGCAACTTTGCCACGGATGTCATTTTTCCAGTCTCTTCCTGATTGTTGAGTGATGAACATTGATCTCAACTGACCTCAACTTCTTAAAAAGTGAGACAAGCCACAGTTAATGTTAAGTCACACAGTTATGCAAGTAGTTTTGCACACAGGGCCAGGAGGCTTAGAATACCCCCCCCCCCCGTGCATTTTTTATCCACTTGGGTTATCTTTGTCCGATATTGACATTTGTTTCATGATCGTCAACATTAACCCTTTCATGCACCCTGTAACCTAATGACATAAGCTGTCCACCGTAATAACCGCTGTCCCTGAAAGGGTTAAAGTGGGAAAAAAAGAAATTTGAAAAGAGGGCAAAGCCTTTTTCAAGGCACTGTATTATACATTTGAAGAGTGGTTTTGTACCAAAATCCATGTGCCGTCAGTGAAGTAACGTCTTTGAGCAAAACGCTGATCTTTGGAAGATGCTGTTGTGAGCAAAATGCAGCCAAGGAATGTCTGGAATGACAGCCACCTTTATTCTAATTACTTTCCTAGTAACACTTTACTGTCAGCTGCCCATCACTTAAGCAACAACACACACAATTTTTTAGTGTCCACCACACAGCCACCATGAGCTTTCTCCTCAGACTGTCTGTCTGTTTTAGCACATTCCCTTCCTTTGTGTGGCCACATGTGGCCTCCACCAAGAAGACCGGCTGCTTCAGAGTCAACAACTGCAAATGCATCATGAAGGATGGCAGTGGGGTGATAAACCTGCAAGCTATGGGCGATGCAGACGGGTTCCTGGGGCGGATGAAACTGCTCCATGCTTACGATGGGTCGATCAACGCTGAGTTCCTGCTGACCTTCAGCCCTTGCCAGCCTTTCTCACAGCCAGAGGACCTGACAGGAAGTGACTGCACCAGTATTGCCGCATGCCTCATTGTCAGGTACTTCCTCTGCTGCGATTCAAAAAGAGAATAATCACGCAAAACTATGAAAAAAAAATACGGTCATGTTGCAGCTTTCCACAATCAGACACACTTTCCGTGCAGGCATACACTCTGTCCCTCCATGTACTTTCTCAGGCCTCTGCCAGTGTTGCCAACTAATTTTCAATACAACACGTCATTATTTAAAGTTGCTCAATAAAGTTGTCAATGTGTAACTACGTAGAATATTAAGTACATTACATACGCTGGGAATTCTCACATGATTTATAAGTTTTTTTAATCCCATATTTTTTTAAAACATCAACAACATCCTGTGCAATTGGTTTGTTTTATTCCTTTTTATTTTAATATATATTTGCATTTATGTTCATATGATTTTAACCATTTCAATATATCAAGTAAATTTTGCAACTCACAATGCGCTTTTGCGGCTAAGCAAACTGCCCATTTGTTTTTCTGTTTCTGTGACAGATTAAATAATTGTGTGTCATTTTAGAGTAATGCTTCTCAACTGTTGTCACCCTGGGACCTTCTTCTTCCAAGTGTTGCATAGCTGAAACCGATTTTATAGAAGTCAAGAAAAAAAAACAGCTCTTTTGTTTGTTTGTTTGTTTTAAAAATAGCCTCTGAGTGTTTTACATTTCATAAATGCTGTTTCAAAACCATACCGCTACTGATGGCATCCGCTTGCCAAGGGCTGAGTGGCACTGTGCATGTATTTGTTTTGTGTAGCAGCTACTGACTGGAGCACAGGTAACATTTTCTGACGCTTAAATTGTACCTACTGTTTGGGAATTTGGTTTGCCTCAGTACTGTTCTGAAAATGAAATTAGAATAGTACATGTAATTTTATTACTCCCTGACCACGACCTACTTATGGTTTCATTTGTGCTCTCTGCTGTTGTATGCAATTCATGCGATGAGATTTGGACTTTCCCCTTGTTACTTTTGGCTGGTGCGCCTTAAAAAAATTAAATAAATAATGGATTTTGTCCAATCCATTCACACAGTGACTAAACATGCTTTTATAATAATTTATAAACGTTAGACAAAAAGAAATGTACAATTTTACAGCCCGATGTCGCCTATAATTGAAATGGAATGCTATTTTAGTTACCTCGACAACATGCAACTGTTAAATCGCAGATGACCACCAGGAGGCTCCCTAAACACATGTACTATATTACTGTATTATGCTCGACGACTGTCCTTCGGCTACAGTATTGAGACTCCGCTTCAGTGTACAGCTGCGTTGGGCAACTAACTTGATGCTGAGGGGGCGGGGCGGGGGGGGGGGGCGCAAAGGAGCACGCCCGCCCGGCACAAAGGACCACGCACGTCCTAAAGAGATTTATAAAAAAAAAAAAAATCCTATTTTTATAATGGATTAAATACTGTATGTGTGTATGTGTATCTATGCAAAATATATGCTCTTAATGTTTGATTTTTGATATTAGAATTTTCAATGGATGTATCAAAGATCCACTATCTTAACCCAACAATAAAGGGTTTGAAGCAAACAACAGAATCACCACGTACTGTATTTTATTTTTCCAGTCCAAAAGACTCTCTTTCATAAAAACGATCCTTCAAGAATGGCATAAAACTGGTGAAAAAAAAATGAACACAGAGTGCAAGAACTCATTTTGTACTTTTTTTTTTCACAAAAATCATGCATCCATCCATTCATTGTCTGAACAGCTTTATCTTCACGAGAGTCATGGGCGTGCTGGAGCCTTTCCCAGCAGTCTTCGGGCAGTAGGCGCAGTGCACCCTGTGGATGTGGGTGTGAATGGTTGTTTTTCTCTCTATGAGCCCTGTGACTGCCTGGCAACCAGTTCGGGGTGTAGTCTCCCTTCCTCCCCGAAGTCTGCTTTGATAGGCACCAGCAACCCCCCACAATCCTGTTCAGGAAAAACGGTGTTGAAAATGAATGGATGGATATGTTTTGTCTGTGACAACAGGTATCAAAGGTTCAACAGATATATTCACCGCTATATCAGCTTTGGGGGACATGACGGCAATGAATTCCATTACAATGACACCCTGAGGACACTTTCTGTCTCATACTTTGGTGAGCTTTTAAAATTTTTGGGTTCATTTTTCAAGTCTCAAGTTACACGTTTAACAGTGCCACTCTTGTCCTCTTGTCCCAGGGCCCACTGAACTTCCACTTACAATTGTGCATTATCACTGCAATCCAAATGAGTCTTCATCCTTTATTCGGGACCAGAGGCTGAAAGTAGAGGAGCCCCTAGAAATCTGGGTGGAGAGTCCCTGTGCTTGTCCAAACGCCTGTGCCATAGGAGATCTGGGTCTTGGCTCAATCTTCCTTATCATCCTGTCTCTCAGCGCTGCTGCTTATCTCATACTTGGTAATTATGTTTTCTAATTAACATAAATGGGATTTTTTTTTAAAAACTGTCAAGGCAAAGCAAATGGGATTAAATTATGCCACATATACAACGGTGCTTGTGCATGAGGAAAAGTCTATTTCAACATAACTCTGATTACTGCGCAACAGATTATGTTGGTTTAAGATTTAATTTAGACGGCCACATAAATAATATTACTTGTAAGTAATATTTATATGACTAAAACCTTAGCGAGTGATATTCTGGTTGCTATAGGTTCTCCAACATACCGGCACATGAATAACGGTATGATCCCAATAGCCTTCTTTTAAGCTATTGAGGCCATACTGGGCTTCCATCCATCCATCCATTTTCCGATCCGCTTTATCCTCACAAAGGTCGCGGGGGGTGCTGGAGCCTATCCCAGCTGTCTTCGGGCAGTAGGCGGGGAACACCCAGAACCGAGTGCCAGCCAATCGCAGCATACTGGGCTTTTTGCCCGACAATGAGCAGTTATGTAGCAAGGTGACAAATAACCTTCCTTAATATGAACTTTTTTTTTTTTTCCCGTAGTCCACGCACGCGGCAATATTCTTAATACAGTGATGCCAATTCTTAATGCAATGCCGCCTGAGGGAATGAACCTCACAGGTATTCTGTGTTGGTTTTGAGTCTTGCTGCTTACATCCAGAGACTTTTCGAGATTTTCAGAATCTTTTCATGATGTTATGGACCACAGCTGATGAACTCCCAAAATTCCTTGTAACTGTACATTGTCCCTGAACTCTTTGCTTTTTGCTCATGCCCACAAAGTAGTGAACTTTGCTTGTGAACAGCTGAGCATTTTGGGGATGCTTTACAGTAATCCTTGGCATGTTTTTATTGCACGGATGTTTTTCAAGGTCATTAAGCACCGTTTTAAAATAAAACAAACAAGTAATATATTGAGATAGAGCAAACAACAATGGATAAGGTAAAAATATTTACGAGCAGTGTTACATTGTGCCGATCACTCTGTGCTCACAGTAAACAAATCCCATTTTTTCCTCCAAACTAACAAATTTAAATGAATGTCTCGCAATATACAATACTCATGCCCTAAGATGCACATTATGAAAGATGATAAGATAAACCTACAGCCAGAAGCTTTCACATACACAAAATCTTCCGTCATCCCACCACCTGTGAGGGGAAAACTTGCTGATTTTTTTTTTAAACAAAAAATTAACTCACTCAAAATGTTTATATTATTGAGGTACTGTACTATGTTTGTCCTGACTGTCATTCCAAATCTGAAAAAAAAATGATTAGGCCTACTCATGTTGTAATATAGGGCACAATAACATCCAGTGGAATCACAACTAAGTTTTATCTGTGGTGAATGGTGATATTACAACGTAAAATTACAGTTTATCGGGTGAGTGCCTGACCTTCAGGCTACTGCCATTAAGGCCCACTTTTATGGCAGGCCTTTAGAGGAGGCTCAGTTGCGCTGGGGCAAACTAGATCCAATGTTGTTCGTCCATCATGGGGGTTTTGACTTGAGCCGTGCTTTGTGGAGACCCTCACTAAGGACCTGCTTGCCTTGGATGATGCTACCAGGGCCATAAAGCCACCAACTGTCGAGCTCCTTGCATCAATCAGGCACACCCTCCCTACACTCAGACACACTGTGCTCAGGTGACTGAATAAGGACAGTGTTAGTATAATTGTTTGACTTTGAGAAAACTGCTGAATGTTCAATAGAATGCCACTTTCTATACTGGCCTGTATTCTGTTGACAGGCTCCTGTGCACTAAGACCTTTTCGGAGCAGCAGTGGAGTTCAAATTGCTCCGGAACACAGTGTGTGGTGTATGATCTGCTACCTCTTCACTGAGAAAAGGCCAGCGAGACGACAATATACAGACCTGACACATTCTGAAGTAACACTGAAAGACTAGTTGGTGTCTTACGTTTAAGTTGTGAATAATGCATCATGAATTATGTGACTATTGGTGTTTTGTGTTACCTCATAATCTACAATTAATGCTTGTTCATTGATATTCATGAAACATGCACAATATACATGGTATGTATCTAATGTCTTGAAAGCACAAAGCAAAGTTTTACCTACGCACTGGCTTGTAATCAACTGAGATCCAATACATGACGTTGCCTTTACTAAGACAAGACAGTAGAAGCTCCAAACTCAATTCAACTCAACTTTATTCATAGAGCACTTGAAATACAACCACAGCCGCATCTAATGTGCTGCACATCAAGTTAAAAATCAGACATATATAAACAAGGACAAGCCATTCAGGGATACCGGTTACTTCCAATTTGGTCCACTTTCATAACAATTGCTGCCATACTGACCAATAAAAATGATGAATGAATAGTGTTGACAACCTAAAATCTTTCTTGTTACAAGCAATGTTTTCCGTAGCATTCTACCATTCAAATGCAGTCTAGCAGCTCTTTCAAACTTTGACTTTAGCAACTCTTCAAAGTTACATTACGCACATTGGATTGAACCCTTTCAGGGACAGCGGTTACTGTGGTGGATGGCTTATCATGTTATCAGGTTACAGTTTTGTCATTATTGCTGCATGAAAGGGTTAAAATATGTACACACCATTTCTGTGATGGTGTGTGGCTTAATTGGAGTGCACACAGATGAATGATCGGGCCTAATTAAAGCATTTGTCCTCTCCATCCTTCCATCTACTATACTGCTTATCTTCTTTAGGGTCACAGGTGAGCTGGAGTTAATTCAAGCTGACTTTGAGCAAGAGGCGGGGTACACCCTGCACTGGTTGCCAGCCGATCGAAGGCTAACATTTGTCCTGTCCTCGAGTCAATATCAACAAATGCCCAAATGTTCAGATGTCTTTTAACGTTTCTCTTGAGTAATTATCCCATGGTCTGGGGTATATTAAGAGTCATTTTTGTTCAGAAAACGTTCATGGTCAATAATCATAAATGTTAAACCTGTTCAGTATTTCTGATCGCAAATCATTATGGGTGTGGTCGACAGTGAGTTCAGCTGAGTCGCATTCTTTGTGATCGTGATGCAAAACAACGGCGACTAGGAAGCAACCTCAAGACTGCACTGTCGGGAAACACAAATAGAAAAGCAACTGGTTGGTTGAGCGTTTGTACAATGTCGGGGGAGACAATTTTCCTTTGCAGCCATGTGAGAAACTAGAAAGGTTGTCAAGGGCCAAACCAATGAAAACTCAATTGTGTTCAATTTCAATGTGATGCCTTCAAACAACAAAGTACATTTTTACTGTCTGAATAAGCTGTTACTGTTGGCACATGTTGTTATAATAAGGAAATAAAAATTCTTCCATCCAGCTTTCCATTTTCTCCCACCTATTTGGAGTCGGGTCACGGGAACAGAAACTTAAGCAGGAACGCCTAGAGTTCCCTCTTGCAAAGCCGCGTCATACAGCATTCCCAGGGTGTCCCGTTACGGAATCATTCGAAAAGGGGTGGATCCCAAAAACGTAGACAAGGATAAAAATCTCTTTTGACAAAAAGGTTTATTTACAATAAAGTTCGCAAAACCAACAAAATACAAATTAGATCGCTAGCCAACAGGACCAGGACAACCGTGGATGACAAAAAGCGTATGCACAAGGCAAGGTCAAAACAAACAACGTAAATTGCTTCTCAAAAGGACAAGTAAATCCAATACCGAATGAAACACAAAACAGACTACCAAATAAATAAGAAACTAAATTAGAACAATAACAATAACTAAGATTATAGGAAGAACGGATAACAAGAACGAGAGCGCTTAGAGAATTGCACTTTTACGAAGAACGAGAGCAAGGTGAATAATCTGACAGCGATATGACCGCAGGGCAGTCCTTAAGTAGTCCAAGAGGTTGATACCGAATGCAAAACAGCTGCATCGCTGAAGGGAAACACCCTCCACTCCAGCTGGAGTGAAAAATCAAAACTCAAAAACAAGACACACAAAGTCGTCTACTGACATTCGTCTTTCCAGTACAAATCATATGTTACGTGAAGTTATTTTGAATAACTAAATTAATGTCATATTAAATAACAATAGATAAATACATGTTTATAACCTTGTAAATTATGTTTTGCCTGATCACGTGCTGTGTCTCCACAGGGCTCGCCATTGTTGAAGCCAGTTGGTGACGTTTTTTTTCCCCCCGACTTTTGATTTTGGGTGCCCCCAGTGCAAAGGGGCGTTGCAGTACACTTTTCCCGGTCCTGGGTAAAAAAAAAAAAAGTCTGACTTCCAACCTTCCTCGAATGCAGCACAAGTCTTATACAAGTCTGCGGTGTGAAAGCCTGTCTAAGTGGGTGACGTCATTACGCTTGTATGCATGCACTGCTGTATTCAAGTGCATCGTGAAGAATCGCAAACTCTTCTACTCCCACTCAGATCCAATACTGAAAGATGCATTTCGGACCTGAAACATGGTGCTGTGTCATTTCAAATGAATCACTGTTCAGTAGTACCGATCCAGATCGGTTCATACCCAAAAACAAAGACATACCAATTTCGGTACCCACCCATGTAGAAATATCAGACTGAGGAGCCACCGATGTCATGAACATGATACAAGTTTTAGAAACATTCATTCATTCATTCATTTTCCGAACTGCTTGATCCTCACTAGGGTCGCAGGGGGTGCTGGAGCCTATCCCAGCTGTGTTCGGGCAGTAGGCGGGGGACACCCTGAATCAGTTGCCAGCCAATCGCAGGGCACACAGAGACGAACAACCATCCACGCTCACACTCACACCTAGGGACAATTTAGAGTGTTCAATCAGCCTGCCATGCATGTTTTTGGAATGTGGGAGGAAACCGGAGTACCTGGAGAAAACCCACGCAGGCCCGGGGAGAACATGCAAACTCCACACAGGGAGGCCGGAGCTGGAATTGAACCCGGTACCTCTGCACTGTGAAGTCGACGTGCTAACCACTGGACTACCGGGCCGCCCGTTTTAGAAACATTTCGGCTCTTAATTGTATGAATTTAACATTTGGATTTGATAGATAATTTAGATTATTTCTAATGAAATGTCACGTTGTTAGGTGATCATTGGAACATTCACCAATCCATTAAAAACAACAAAAAAAAAAAGGCAGCCAATGAGGTGAAACAAGCGCGGCAGTCGGCCAGCAATCGCATTCTGAACCAGGTGTCAGCGACAAATGGACAAAACATCGAGGACACAATACAAGGAATTGCAATACAGTAATCCAGACATGCTGCAATAAATGTAGGAATGAATTTTTTTCAACTGGTCAGAGGGCAAAAGGTGCCACCTTTGGGTGTGAGCGACATGCATATCGTCAGCAAAACACGAAAAAGGAAATGAGCTCTCTCTTAAAAGTTGAGCCAAATGGCAACATATATAAGGGAAACCATGGCAGGCCAAATTAGCCCCCTATCATCACAAAAAAACAAAACAAAACCATGGCTAAGGACTGGGCTGAGGCATATGGTTAAGCACGGGGGACCAGAGTAACGATACACCATCTTTGGGGTGTGGCACGTCCCCACCAGGAGCCAAGCCCTGCTTCCAGCCCACCGGGAGCCCATCACAGGGGCGATCCCAACCCAGGCAGGCGGAGGAATTCCCCCATCCGCCGAGCCAATACCTCCTCCATACAGCCGGACCTAAACGCAGCTTCCGTTGTGGACGGCTCCCACTAAGGAACGCTGGAGTTGAAACAAGATTAGAGGAGAAATTCAAACAGGTGTGAGTCAAAATCAATCGATCAAACAAATTGATAAAATCAGCGAAACGCTAAACTCAGAAGGTGAATCTTGAGGCTCCTTTTAAAAATATCGCCGATCTCTGTAGCCCTGATGTCCTCCGGCAGGCCATTCCACTAAGGTGGGCCGTCAAATTGGAAAGATGCCCCACTGTAGATTTGGCTTCCAACCCCCGCCATTGTTAAAAAGCCGCTGCCAGAGGACCTCAGTGCCAATAAATAAGGATCCACAACCATATTTAGAATTTTGTAAATCCATAAAAAGAATTTGAGAATTGATCCTATAACCTACAGGGAGACAATTCAGCCACTTCTATAGCTGCCATAAGCCTGTCAAGTGCATATCATTAAAACTGTCGAACAATGTTTTATCCACAAAGCTTTGGTTTGACGAAAAAGGACAACCCTTTTGAAGAAATATAAACTTGAAGTCATTTTAATCTCTGCAAGTAGGAATGATGACCTAAGAGGTTTTTTTTTCTTTCCTTTGGCATGATGGACTTGAGAGTAGCAAAGCCTTTGTTTGCATTCATGGCACAGAGTCTGTGACCCCTTGACAAGATCAAACTTTTGCGTTCTTATTTTGTGAGGCTTTTCTGCACTTTCATTGTTTTAAGTCTGCGAAAAGCATGCTTGGAGATTGACAAGGTCAACCTAACACATTCCATTTCATACCACTGTTGAAATTTTTTCTTGTTGTTGTTTTGGCTGTGCATTTTGAAATCATTATGTTGTTGCGTGATGAATTTTTGGTTTGCTTGCATCTTTCAATTGGCAGAGGCAAGTTTTCTGACGACATATGAGTTCATTTAACTGCCTCCAACACTAATGTCAAAGAAGATTAGTGAGAACGGAAGAAAACTGCGAGCCAAGCCCATGTCACTGACAGTTGAAGTTGTTTTAGTTTTTTTTTTTTTTTTTCCAGCTCGCCCAATGTCTCTGTTTCAAGCTTTGTTGTGTTCCGTGGTATACCCTTTGGAGATCTGTTACTTTGTACAGCCATACTGTACTTTGTTTTTTTTCGCCAGGGCATCATAGATTGTACTGGATATCATCAACGTTTGTAAAATGGCTGTGAGTGATTTTCTGTCTTCTCTCAGCTTGACAAATGCTCGATTTTCCAACCACAAACAGCTTTCTGGTTTTCATGTTGGTTACACCTCTAACTAGTATACATTGCATCTAGAAAGTATTCACAGAATTACTGCACTGATTATTGTAGCTCCAGCACTCCACATACTTGAACAGTTGTCATGGATCAATATTGCACAGCACCAATGTATAATTGCACTACAATTACTGGTCCTTTAAAAATGGTGCAACGATTATGTGCACCAACTGCACAACCGTTATAGTATGTAGAGGACCATAGTCATGTATTGCACCACTGATCATTTTATTTCTGCTCGATGACTCGGCACTTTGTCACACAAGTGTCATTTGGTGGTACTGCTGCACAATGGTACCCCTACATGATGGAAAGTCTTTCGAGACACATGTGTCATGTCTTTGCTTATTGTAGCTGCGTGTTATTGTAATACTAGCGTAGCCTCTACTACAGGAGAAAATTCCTTGTGTGTTCTACATACTTGGCCAATAATGAAGATTCAGATTTTTATTCGCTCTCTTTTTACATGTATTTTTTTATACACCCTGTCATCATCGAAAGATGTTTAAAAGCTAATGAGACCATTTGACAAAATCAGGAGTAGAAAATCCTTCCAGTGTGGAGTTTGCATATTCTTCCTGTGCTTGCGTGGGTTTTCTCCGGTTTCCTTCCACACTCCAAAAACATGCATGGCAGGTTAATGAAACACTCTAAATTGTTCTTTAGGTGTCAT